TAGACAGTGAAGTGTCTCCCTAACAAGCAGTGTTTCCAGGATTTTAGTGCACAGACAAGTGCATACAATTCTCTTTCGTAAGTGGAGTCGGCGACCTTCTGAGTAGGAAGTCTGACAGACATAAACTCAATAGGTCGGTAACTCTTACCATCGYCCTGCTGTAAAACTGCACCAATTTCATACTAACTTGCTTCAGTGGTCACAATAAAGGGAAGAGAAGGGTCAACGATTTTTAGAACAGGGTAGTGAGTCAGTGCATATTTTAACTTCTGCATTGATGACTCACAGTCCTTGTCCCACAACCANGGAAGAGAAGGGTCAACGATTTTTAGAACAGGGTAGTGAGTCAGTGCATATTTTAACTTCTGCATTGATGACTCACAGTCCTTGTCCCACAACCAAGTGGTTCCTTTCTTCAGGAGTCATCTCATGGGAGCAGCAGCTAAGGAGAGGTTCCTAACAATATTCCTATCGTAACTGGCTAACCCAAGGAAAGACCTCAACTCAGTGATGGACTTTGGTTGTGGCCAATCTCTAGTTGCTGAAATTTTCTTCGCTTCCGGTCCGAGTCCTTCTATGTTAACTATATGCCCTAAGTAGAGCAGTTCAGATTTTGCAAACTCAGACTTCTTTGGGTTAAGTTTAAAATTACCTTCGCGTAGCTTACCCAAGACGAGACGCAAGTGTTTCTCGTGATCCTCCAGCGTTTTGCTGTAGACTAGGATGTCATCGAGATATACAATTATAAACTGATCCAACCACTGTTGAAACAATTCGTTCATAGACCTTTGGAAGGTCGCAGGAGCATTCGTCAAACCAAAGGGCATGACCACAAACTCGTAGTGTCCATTCCTGGTTCGAAAAGCAGTCTTGTGTTGATCTTCAGGCGCCACCTCGATTTGGTGGTACCCCTACTTCAGATCAATTTTACTGAAGTACTTGCATCCCTGCAGCTGATCCAACAAGTCGTCAATTCGTGGTAGGGGTTTAACGTTTTTCACAGTGACGGAGTTCAACCCTCTATAGTCAATGCATAGACGCAACTCACCTTCCTTTTGGGGCACAAATAAGACGGCGCTCTATAAGGTGAGGAACTAGGCGAATCCATCCTTTGTCAGGTAATTCCTGAAGTTGCTTGGGCCTATGTGTCCAAAATTGGATTCAACGGGGGTTTTGAGTTGAATGGTTCAACTCCCATTCAACTCCCGTAGCAACTCGGCCCGCGGATTTGTTTTTTTGTAGGTAAAACACAAGTGAAAAACAAATAAAAAAATATGGGGGTGTAGATTTTTTTGCTTTCTACATCCCCATATTTTTATTTTATTTTTTTTAGCATTAAAATTATTTTTAAAAAATCAAAAACGAAACCAGACTCAAAACATATATATATTTTTTTCTTTTTTTTTTGATTGATTGATTGATTGATTGATTGGTGGGGGATGGGTTGCCCCTCCCACCCCCACCGAATCAGACACACACACATACACACACACTCACACACAGACACACACACACACACACACAC